GCTGCCGACACAAAAGTTTATTTCCACCTGCTGAAGCTGAGAAAAGATTTGCAGCCCAGTCTGAACGAATCGGCTCGAGTACTTTTTGTTTTCATGACAGCTTAAAGTTCCGGTAAAAGGTGGAGTTTAGCTTTTTACTGGAATCAGCAGCGAAACCTCTGATAAGTTAAAAAAAAGCATGCACTGAGATAACAACTTTAAAATAGTTTTACCCACATTAAGGAAAAACTAATTTAATCTGAGAGTTTAATCCCTCCATCTGCAGAACAAACTCAGATTTTCTCCCAGTTGTTTTTAACAGTTTTGGTGTTTTTTTTGATAAATGCTCAGGAAACATCGACTCGTAGTGTTTTCATCCCTGCAGACCAGACCCATGAAAACAGYTTCTCTCTTTTGTGGTTCTGTTCAGAACCATCCTCTTTGCTGTGCAAACGCAGCGGTCTGAAACGACCGACACACACCCACTCACTTCATCTCCACAGGCGCTTCGCTGTGGTGGAAACTAACATCATCATTCCAGGATGGCTACGTAACTTCAAACTGAAAAAGAAAAAAAGGAAATCTGGCCTCTGGAAGCAACACAGATCTGCAGCCCGCAAAGACAAGCTGAGAAAAACAGCTTCACTCTTTTAAATCTTTGCCTGAAGATAAAAACATCAAGGAATGATTCATCTCTAGATGTTCTGACTCCAGATGGTCTTCTTCATCGTTATATCGTCCCTTCCATCATCTTCAGCCGATCTCTCAAGAGGCACCTTTAAACAAACTCTGATTTGTTTATCTGCTCCTAAAGATAAGCCTTTCTGCTGGATTCTTCTGCTTCTTTGCTCTCGAAGCGTCTCCTGCAGATTGGAAACACATGGCTTCGTTATGTAACGCACTAAACCGGGGGCGAGCCTGTAGTTCACACATCAGCAGGTCAGCAGAGTCCCCGGGGGGATTTCAGAGAAAAATCTGTTTTTTTCTAGAAATCGAATATATGAGACAAAACTTTATTTTTTAACCTGAAAATGTTTCTTTAAGACTTGAAGCAAAATAGAAATGATTTAAATAAACGTTTAAAAGGCCTGAAAAAAGTCCAGTCTCAGTTTTATCCACTCTGTTCCACATAAATGATGCTGTCATCTTTACAGAGTGGATTAAAGAGGTGAGATTTAAGGCTTTAGTAGTTTACAGACCTGGTTTTTATGTGGTCTCCAGCTGGTTTCTAAGTGGTCTCCAGATGGTTTCTAATTGGTCTCCAGATGGTTTCTAATTGGTCTCCAGCTGGTTTCTAATTGGTCTCCAGATGGTTTCTAATTGGTCTCCAGCTGGTTTCTAATTGGTCTCCAGATGGTTTCTAATTGGTCTCCGGCTGGTTTCTAATTGGTCTCCAGCTGGATGCCAACTAGTCTCTAACAGGATGCTAACTGGTCTCTGACTGGTCAGTAACTAGTCTCCAACTGGTCTTCAACTAGTCTCTAATTGGTCTCCAACTGGTCAGTAACTAGTCTCCAACTAGTCTCCAACTGGTCAGTAACTAGCCTGCAACTGGTCTGTAACTAGCCTCTGAGTGGTCTCCAACTGGTCAATAACTGGTCTCGAACTAGTCTCCAACTGGTCAGTAACTAGTCTCTAGCTGGTCAGTAACTAGTCTCCAACTGGTTTCCAACTGTTCTCTAGTCTCCAATTGGTCAATAACTGGTCTTCAACTGGTCAGTAACTGATCTTCAACTGATCAGTAACTAGTCTTTAACTAGTCTCCAACTGATCTCTAACTGGTCAGTAACTAGTCTCCAACTGGTCTTTAACTAGACTCTAAGTGGTCTCCAACATGTCAGTAACTGGTCTCCAACTGGTCAATAACTAGTCTCCAACTGGTCTTCAACTAGTCTCCAACTGGTCTTCAACTAGTCTCCAACTGGTCTTCAACTAGTCTAATTGGTTTCCAACTGGTCAGTAACTGATCTTCAACTGGTCAGTAACTGGTCTCTAACTGGTCAGTAACTAGTCTCCATCTGGTCTTTAACTAGACTCTAAGTGGTCTCCAACATGTCAGTAACTGGTCTCCAACTGGTCAATAACTAGTCTCCAAATGGTCTTCACCTAGTCTCTAATTGGTTTCTAACTGGTCAGTAACTGATATTCAACTGGTCAGTAACTGATCTTCAACTGGTCAGTAACTGATCTTCAACTGGTCAATAACTAGTCTCCATCTGGTCTTTAACTAGTCTCTAAGTGGTCTCCAACTTGCCAGTAACTGGTCTCCAACTGGTCAGTAATTAGTCTTCAACTGGTCAGTAACTGGTCTCTAGAGGGTCAGTAACTGGCCAGTAACTAGTCTCCAACTGGTCTCTAACTGGTCAGTAAGTAGTCTCTAAATGGTCTCCAACTGGTCAGCAACTAATCTCTAATTGGTCTCTAACTGGTCAGCAGCTGGTCTCTAACTAGTCTCCAACTAGTCAGTAACTGGTCTCCAACTGGTCAGTAACTGGTCTCCAACTGGTCAGTAACTGGTCTCCAACTGGTCAGTAACTAGTCTCCAACTGGTCAGTAACTCTGTCTCCAGCTAGTCTATAACTGGCCAGTAAATGGTCTCAAACTGGTCAGTAACTAGTCTCCAACTGGTCAGTAAATGGTCTCCAACTAGTCTATAACTGGYCAGTAAATGGTCTCAAACTGGTAAGTAACTAGTCTATAACTGGTCAGTAACTAGTCTATAACTGGCCAGTAACTGGTCTCCAACTAGTCTATAACTGGCCAGTAACTGGTCTCCAACTAGTCTATAACTGGCCAGTAACTGGTCTCCAACTAGTCTATAACTGGTCAGTAAATGGTCTCTAACTGGTCAGTAACTAGTCTCCAACTAGTCTATAACTGGTCAGTAACCGGTCTCTAACGAGTCTCCAGCCATTCATGCAGTAATAAGTGGTTCTTAAGGATCATGAACCTTAACTTGATGAGGGATTATTAAGGATTATTAACACTTTCCTCTTGATTCTGTCACTGGTARTTTCTCTCTGCCGACAAAGACCAGCCCTAATCTGTCCTCCTCCAAGGAGACGAAGTTTGTTCTGATGTTCATTAAGGAGCCACAGTGTCCCTGTCCGCCACTGTCCCTRTCCTCAGTGAAGACAGTTTTACATCATCATGGACTGAGAGGACCAGAAAGAAGCTCCAAACCCTTCTAACTGGACTGGTTCCATAGATCACTAAAAAGCCAAAGATGAACATGAGACTCATACAAATTCTAACAGATCTGTGATTGGAGTTAAAAACAAGTTTTCTTGTCCATTTATTCTGACTGTTTTCAGTAGCAGGTACCGTTTATCAYGACTTATTGTTTACATTTTGCCTGAAGGCACAATAATCCCTGAGCTGAAAGATTTGAAAGTTCAGAAGATCTGTTTACAAAAAATGTGCTGAGTACGCAAAGATCTTCACAGGTTCAGGGCAACCGAGAGCACAAGACCAGAATCTGACTCAGATGAGGCGAAGCAGCTGTCTGACAGATTATAATACAATCAAACGTCTCAACACGTATTCGCCGGGACATGTTTAATGAGTTGTGAGGGAAAAGACCACAGTTGGGATGAGAAAATGTCCCACAAAGACAAAAAAACAACAGATCTGGGTGGACGGATGAGTTTTCAACAGCCTGAAGAAACTCGCCTCCAGATGTGCAGAGGAAAACATCTGCCTCACGGATCAGATAATGTCCTCGATTAATGGACAGGACCCGTCTTTTAGGGTCAGTAGATTCTAAATAATTACTGGGGAGTAAAGAACATGTCTTCATAACAAACTGTCTTCAAAACAAACGGTCTTCATAACAAACTGTCTTCATAACAAACTGTCTTCATAACAAACTGTATCATGTGGACATCTGGGACAGGACCTAAACATTCAGAGTAAGACCACAGAAAACTTCTTGTGGACTGTCTTATGATTGGACAGAGGGAATGTCCTGCAGACTGTCCTACGAAATAAACTATTTCAAAGGTAACAGATCTTTGTAACACTTGGTTTATTTACAGAATGACTTTAATTGCTGGATGTTCGGCTCCTCAGCTGTTGACCTGCAGTAACTGTGGGCCCTGGAGGAGTTTAGTAGAACAGCCCTGGGTTAGAGCAGTGATAAAATAACTAACAACACAGACTGTAGAGAAGAATCTGATGTTTCTTTACATTATTTAAAGTCAGTAATGAGTAACAGTAACAGTAGTTGTTTCAATAGTTTTTTGTTAGCGTTCCCCTTTGATGTCACTTCCTGTTTCACTTTAGCTGAGCCAAGTTCAAAAGAAAATATGCAAGTTATGTGACATAACAGGTCAAATCATGTGTATTATGCCAAGTTTCTTAAACATATTTTCTGACTTATTGTATTTCTCGTTTTTGCATGTCACAGGCACTTTAAAGTTGGCAAAAGCTAGTGGAAGCTAACTGGTCTGATAATAGTTTTTAAAGTTAGTGGAAAAGCTAATCTGCTAATTGAAACATTAGATCCACTGTTTGCTGTCAGCAGAATCAATATTTAAACAGTTTTGAGGAAATAAAAATGGAGGATAAAATCGTCTGGTTATGGGGGCCACAGATTTTATTAAATATTTTTGAGGTGGTCGTTGCCCYCTCTGGTTCCCCCCTTGGTTTTGCCCCTGGACACTTTTTTAAATCTGTAGATGTCRTGGTCCTAGTGGCCCATCTGACCTGGAGACCCTGAGAAGGCACCAACAGGAAGTGCTGCGSGGCTAAAGGAGGAAACCTGGACCAGGGTCAGCAGGTCCAGAGGGTTTGAAGTACTGGTGACAGCGTGGTTTTAGGGGTGTTTTACTTCTCTTTTTTTTGGAGCCACGTTCAGGATGAATTTATCTTTTATTAAACAAATGAAGCCACAGAGCCTTGAAATCAAACTGCAAAGAYAAATGAGTGACTTTAGCTCCACCTGGTGGTTGACAAGGGCACGACAGAATAAAACACCTCAGTTTGACCATCTGAAACAGCCTTAMACCAGAGCAGACGAGTTGATTTGATACATACATTTATTTTATATAAAAGAAACGAGGGCGGCCATATTAACAATTATACAGACGAGGAACAGGATCACTGGAAAACTACGGTATCCAACATGGCCGCTAGGCACTGAACGATGTTGGAGGTCATCAAGACGTCCACGTGTTCCTCCAGGTGTCTCTTAGGATCCTGAAAGCAGACGAGCAAACGTCACAGAAGAGAAATAAATCCAGATTATAACGATAACAAAAAGCTTTGATCCACAGCGTCGTACCTGTTTTCCTACGTTCTTGATGGCGAGCTGCTCCGGAGTCATCTTGTCCTCCTCTTCCACGGCCTGAGGTGGAAGCAGGAGAAGATCAGCCTCTTCCTGCCTCACCTCTGAAGCAACGTTTTACTCTTTTTCTCACAAATTAAAGCTGTTATTTTAGTCCTAAAATCTTCATTYTAGGACTAAAGTCTCAGCTAAAGAGTGAAGTTAGCCGCTGCTGCAGCCAAAACCTGAAGCAAGGATGCTAACGACGCTAASGAGGTCAAGTTTACTTAGAATAAGTCAAAATAAATAACATTGTTGTGTTAATAAATGTCTTTTATTCCATTTTAAGTTGTGCCTACAGGAMCAAAACATACTATTAATACTTGTATTGTAGGTTTAAAGGTTTAATAAAACTAGATTTTAATTTTTAGGAACATTCTTATTTAGAATATTTAAGATTAAGGATTGAATTTTAATTTACCTAAMGAGGTGATTTTTGTCCATTATTKAGCCTCATTGCTAACATGCTAACTGTTGTAGCTCGTCTCAAACTTTTGTTTCTAAACTCTGTCAGCTAAAAAACACCAGTAGCTGTGTGTTTATTTTTATAAAGTAGCATTAGGAACCTAACGAAGTGATTTTTGTCCATTATTGAGCCTCATTGCTAACATGCTAACTCTCGTAGCTTGTCTCAAATGTTTGTTTTTAAAGGTTAGCTTAAAAAAGCCGTGTTCTGAATGAGTCGTCTGGATAAAATCTTTTAATTCAAGGAGAATAAAAACCTGGTACCTTGTTGTAGTTCTTGGCGAGCTCCAGCATCTCTTTGACGATGGTCTCGTTGAGTTTGCAGTGTTCGCTGTAGTCCTGCAGGGTCAGACCCTCCATCCAGCTCTTCTTGTGCAGGTTCAGCAGCATCTGAAGGGTTAAAAAGAAACGTTGTTGTTTTTCTGCTCGGCACTAAAACAACAAAACCATCCAAACGTCTCGCTGAGGCGGCGAACCTTCTGCTCCAGCTCGTTCTTCCTGTAGTTGATGGTGATGGAGTAGTAGTGCCGGTTCAGTCCATGAATCAGAGCCTGGAAGAATCAGGAGAGGGGCAGCAGCCGAAACATCAGCTAAAGTTTACCTCAGCTGAAACATCAGCTAAAGTTTACCTCAGCTTGACCCAAACATCAGATCTAAACCATGAACTGTCATCTGTTACGTGCTTTATAAGCTCCTGAACGGTTCCTCTCTCTTTAGGATAAAGAAATTATATATTTATTAAAAATTATATTTTGCCTTCTTTTAATTTTCCCAACTTGTAAAATGTAAATAAAACAAATAAAAATAATAAAAACCACAGAACTTAAAGAGTTAAAGCTGAACTTCTCAAAAAAAATGGACACAAAAGCCAGAGAACACTGATTCTATGAAACAACTGCTTGCCGTACRTTCGCCTGCTGCAGGAATCTGCTGATTCGACACAAACGGGTTTTTGAAGTTAGTTGTTTGTTTTGTTTGGAGCTGCTCAGTGATTCACTCAGGTGAAAGATTCGAATCCCTGCACTGAGTCAGGACTCAGGAGTCCGAGGTCTGCGGACTTACATGAGTCTGGTTTCTGATCCGAGTGGCTCCAGTGAACCGGATCAGCGTCAGATTAACACGAACCTCCAGATTCTTATAAACTGAATTAAATTCTGCTTCTTTTCTGTCGTTCCAGTCGAACTGAACCTGAGCTCAGACTGGGACCGGTCTGTCTCTGACCCGGTCCCAAACCTCTCCACAYAGACTGTTACATATAAACTCATTCTGCAGGAGGAAACCGGTCCAGGTCCTCACTGACTGGACGACAGGACCGTACCTGGATGGAGGGTTTGTTCAGGTGRCCCAGGTTGGACGTGGTCTGCCTCGGTTCGTGGCCCAACACCATCATGTTGGCGTTAATCAGCCTGAAGGCATCGATGACGACCTGAGCACAAAAAATAAAAACAAGCTCAATAAAGTTTAAATGTTTCAACAACCCTCGGGTTCAGGTCCTCACCTTTCCTTTAACGCTCTGAATCGGGTCGACCACCACGGCCACGGCTCGCTCCGACAGCGCCTCGAAGCTCTGCTGCGTGTTGATGTCCACCCCCGACAGCCAGCAGCCGAACCCGGGGTGGCTGTGGTACCAGCCCACCACCATCTCTGGTCTGGAGACCAAAGCAGGCAGAAAACATAAAAATAAATCAGCATGAATAAACCCTGCTGCTGCCCTGGGGTCAAACACACCCACAAAAACCTCAGACCTTACCTTCCAGTCTGCTTCAGCATGTCCAACATCTTAGCCTGGAAGACCGGGTCCACGGCCTCCACACTGACTCCCTGTTGACATCAGTCAGGTTTTTATCACCGTTCAGTCAGTTTACAGGAAATCTAACCAACAACTTCTGCTACAAACACTTCAAACAACAGACAACMACTAAATAAATGTTTCTTAAAGGGCCGTCTGTGGAGGATCCTTTATTWATCTGACGGAATACGGCTGCAGGAGAAGAGGTGGGCTAATATAAATATACTTCTGCCGACTAGAGGTGGGCGGATCGATACTAAATATCGATATATATTATATGTATTGATATTGAACAATACTCGTGTAAAAAGATCGATACTCAAGCTTTGTTCTTTCCCGCACACACTGACTGCTGCACACGAGGCTTTTTCAAAGTCTACTCTCTGTCTGTAGTGCTGCACTGTGTCACACACAACAGGGAGCATGTCTAGTGGTGAGGGAAGAATTTTTATTTTATTTTTGTATAAAAGATTTATTTTCCTAATGTTAAAGGAAACTGTTTTGTTAYTGCTTTRTTGTTGGCAAGCAAAAATATTGTTATAATGAAGTATTTTATTGTCGTACAATGTTTGGCAAAATTCTATCCTGGATCTTTTGGATCTTTTCAAATTATGAAGCTTAAAAAGTATCGGTATCGATATCGTCGATACTGGCCCCGCATTTACTTGGTATCGGATCGATACCAAAATTCCCAGTATCGCCCACCTCTGCCGACTCCTTTAGAGTGAATGAAAACTGTATATTAGTAATGTTTGTTAGCTTCTGTTATTAAAACAAATAATACAAATACAACATCTCCTCACTGTGAGTTTCATTAAGACGTTTCTTCCCAAATCAAACTCTGGAAGTGGTCATTCAACTAGATCTGTTACAAAAGGACAACTGATATTACCAACTTTTAAAAACT